GTGACAGTGTAATGTACAGGTGTTTATGTTTCAGCACAGCTTTAATGGTTTACAAAATTACACACTGAACACATAGTCACAAATAGGCTACTAACAATCAACTCAACAATCAAATCTATTCACCCTAGCCGTTCTATCTCTATCTTCTTTAAACTTTATCCATTGGTGAACTTCTGTTCAACTCACCATCTCATCTCTCTGAACATTCTTACTTTTCTATCTTTTTGTCATTAAGCCTTTAGTTTTCACGTAGAAAGGACGTTTCATTTCTTTTCTTTACCTGGTTTTGGCGGGAAATTTGTATTTTACAATTCATTTTTCATAGGTTGTGTTGTTCATTTAAGGATTAGCCTATTTAAATCAGTTCTGTATTTAAAAGGTAGGCCCTATGTTTATATATAATATTCTGTATTGTGCTCTGTAATGTTTTGCAAGTTTTATAAAGCAAAGTGTATGGCAGCCATCTTTAATTTCAATATATTATTACATAGTTCGATTGTGGTAATTAGGATTTTAGTAATTGCACAATAATATGGTAAAATATAGTTTTTGATAAGAGTATTAATATTTCTAGGTTTAAGGTATTTCACCTTATTATTCTCCAGTTTAATAGCTTAAACGCCCAACTTCTGGGTATGTAGGCTATTTTGTATAGTTAATATTTCTTTATTTATATTCATCATGACGTAAGTGGGTTGGTGCCTTAAAGGGACAGGTAGGCCTTTTTTGACCAATCATACTTTTATCACATAGCTAATCAGTTATAGGTGTTATAGAAGATACTCTCCTATAGAAGCACTGGCCTAGGTCACAAGTAGAGACTATGGATTTCAACATGAAAACTATTTCAATTCAAACAGAATATGTTTTACTGAAGATTATTCATAGATTATTACTTCTGGAGAGATTACAAGAAAAAATATATTCAACTCAAATTCCAATGCAATTTTTTCAAGGAGTTGATGAAAGGGGTTCTAATCTACCATGAACCAATACATTACTAAAGTTTTTATTTCTTTTATATGCAGTGACAGTATTCACAGCTCACCGTCGAAATTTTTAGCGTTAAATCCATTTGTGTCAAGAATTATCTGGGTTTGAATGTTAAATGACG